CTGCACTGCCGATTCCGGCGTCACATGTTCGCCGCGACGCGATCCCCTTACCTCTCTGGAGTAGTGTCGTTATGTCGTATCGATATTTTGAAATACACACACGGTATTGTTGTTGTTGTGGTGTGTGTTCGTTGCCGCTACAAAATTATAGTTTTGTTTTCTTCGGTTATTTTTCGCGGTACGCCTTCATCGTCACCGTTGTTTATGTTAAAAAGGCTCATTGTAAATCTAGTGTACGCCTTCGTCGTCGCCATACGCTAAAGTGCCGCCTGTATTGTCACCATTCGGACACACATCGTGGTTCGATTCGTTTTGCGTGTGCGTGCTCATCGTCTCGCCGCCGATAATACGACATCGCCGAAAAGCTGTTATATCATTGTAAGCTGAGTGTACGCCATCGCCGTTGTCGACTACAATAATAATATCCATCATACCGTCACCGAGGATACCTGGCCTGGACCACATTTTGGTGATATCATTCATATGCATACTCTACTGTTAAACTTATTTAAATATATTGTCTTGTAATTGTGAATTAGTAACATAGTATTTAAGTGTCCCCCCTCCAATTTCTTTGTTAATTAGCATGTAAGATCTTCATTATACAGTCCACTTCTAATTTGATACTTTGAGTCAATTCTAATATTTTGTGTAACCATCTATCCGGTAATCTTAGGTTGTTGGCATTATCCCGCGCTAACATCATTTCCGGGAAGGTCGCTGCCGCACATGTTTTGGTCCTTACGAGCTGGATAGCTCAAGTTGATTTTTTGTATTGTCTGATTCACTATGCCTGCTTCTAATTCAGTTAAAGCTCAGCGTCCTATACAGCGGTCACGTTTCATGCGTGATCGTCATCTCAAATCAATTACTGATATGCATTCACTCGCGGTGCAAGTCGAGTCGGGTGCTGTCGAAAAGTGTGAGCTCGACGTACGTATTGAGTCGTTTGAGACAATTGTTTCGAAATTTCGTTTAGAACAGGAGGCCGTTACTGACGTACTCATTCAAAATAACTGTATCGAGGAGTTCGATGAAGTCGATGAGCCTGTCTCTAACTCCGTAGAAGAAATGTATTTCGAAGTAAAACACATCGTATCTCGGTTATCAAAAAAAGATTCGCAATCGACTACGTTAGCCGCACCAACGTTAAGCGCGTTACCAGAAATTGAATTGCCCAAATTTAAAGGTGATATTTTGTCTTGGTCTCTTTTTCGAGACACATTTTTGTCTGCTGTTCATGAGAACCCGGATTTAAGTGATAAACGGCGTTTTCAGTACCTGTTAATGTGCGTAACGGGATCAGCACTTACCATCGTCCGTTATCGGCGTCAAATTATAAATTAGCGTGGGGAGCGTTATTAAACCGCTACAATAATCAACGATTATTAGCTACCGCCCATGTTGATAAACTGTTTAACTTTAAACCAATAGCGCAAGAGTCATTATCTGCGTTGACTGCGTGCGTTTGTAAACGTTTTTCGAGAAAATATTGCTGCCGTAAAGGAACTCGGAGTCAATGACCTCGTCGGTTTCATTTTATTTCACCTCGCTTCAAAGGTACTAGATCCAACTACTCGTCGATCGTTTGAATCAAGTTGGGCGCCGAATCAAATGCCTGATTTTGATTTATTATTAGCATTTGTTCAACAACGCTGTAAAGTTCTCGAAAACATACAAGGTCCCGTGAGTGTTGAGCGGACCAAGAAGAATGTTACAAGTAGGAAACCTTATCAAACTTCAAAATCGTTTATGTCAGCTACCTACGATAAATCTGTCAATCAAAAACAGTTTAAATGTGCTTTCTGTAACGAAGCTCATCCTGTTTATCGCTGTGCGGCTTTTCAAAAAATTACAGTCGAAAAGCGTCATGATTTTGCATCTGCCAACAAGTTATGCTTTTCTTGTTTAAGTACCGCGCATATGATAAATAAATGTTCTTCAAAGTCAAGCTGCAGAATTTGTCAGAAATGACATCATACTTTATTACATTTATTAACGTATCCGGATGCTAATGCGTCAAATTCAAACACCATGCAAGCAACGGATAAAACTGACGAGAACGTCATGGATAAGTCTACTCTTGCGCTTAACAGTCAAGTGCATTTTTCTGGTGCGTCAAGAACAAATTCTGCAGTAGTACTTGGGACTGCAATCGTTCGTATAAAAGACAGTTGTGGTGTTTTACATTCTGTAAGAGTCCTTTTGGATAGTGGTTCACAAATTTCGGCTATCACTAGTAGTTGTGTGTCAAACATAGGTCTCGTCAAGCACAAGTGTTGTACCGAAGTTGTTGGTCTTGCACAAAATCCTGTTGCAAAAATAAAAGGCGTGACCAATTGTCAATTTGTGCCTCACTATACTTCCAAGAATACATTTTACTGTAGTGATCTTTTCGTTTTACCTGCGATAACAGACGTTATGCCAACACAACATTTACCATCATGCGTTTGGAAAAAATATGAACATTTATTGCTCGCAGATCCGAATTTTGATGTCCCAACGCAAATAGACATGTTACTAGGTGGTGACCTTTTCCCAAATATTGTTCGCCCACGCGCCGATATTTTTCATTCTTCTGGCTATCCATCGGCATTAGATACGCTCCTCAGCTGGGTTGTATGCGGTGCCATCTCACAGTCCAATCCTTCGCTAGCTGTTTCACTAAATGCAACCTTGACGCCGTCAGTTGATAATTTACTGCGCAAATTTTGGACTATCGAAGAACCCGCCGTGCCCGTGTTACCTACCACTGAAGACCAACTTTGCTAACAAATGTTTGTGAAGACCACCTATCGTGCTCCATGTGGTCGATTTTGTGTTGCTCTTCCGTTTCGCCCTAACGCCCATGAGCTCGGGGAGTCTCGGTCTTTGGCCCTTAAACGTTTCTATAATCTAGAACGTAAACTGATGAAAGAACCACAAATATACGCAGCTTTTTGCAAATTTATGAATGACTATCAAAGACTTGGCCATATGGAAGTTGCACGACAAGCTGGAAAATACTACATCCCTCACCATGCAGTACTAAAGTCAGATGGTGACATTTCAAAGCTCCGAGTGGTCTTTGACGCTTCCGCCCGGTCGTCTTCCGGTTTATCGCTCAACGACGTTCTATATATAGGACCAAAACTCCAAACAGACATCAGAGATATCCTTCTTCGTATTCGACTACACCGATATATTTTTATCGCCGATATAGTTAAAATGTATTGACAGATTTTGATCGGACCTGAAGATCGCCTATTCCAACATATTCTTTAGCGTGAAACACCCGAAGAAGAAATAAAAGAGTTCGAGTTACTGATGGTGACATATGGAGTTAGTTCAGCACCTTACTTAGCCATTCGTTGTCTCCACGAGTTGGATGCTCAAGAAAGTAATCGATTCCCAGGTACAAGAGGAATTCTTACCACCAACACTTATATGGATGACATAGTCGTCGGTGCTGATTCGGAGGAGGAACTTCTATCACTCCAGAAACAAATCATTGCCCTTCTGCGGTCAGGTGGGTGCGAATTGAAAAAGTGGACGAGCAACTGCCCTAAAATATTGCAACAAGTACCACCGGAGGATCGTGCTCAGCAGGCGTCATTCGATCCAAAAGAGGATCAGACTCTCAAGGTTCTCGGTCTTCACTGGGATACTGACTCTGACTACTTCGCATACCATACTCGAACTCCGGAATCTCAGCTATCAAGGCGGAAGGTTCTATCCGTTATCGCTCGATTATTTGATCCTATTGGGTCCTTGGGTCCAATGCTTATGTGGGCAAAGGGATTCATGCAGAAGCTTTGGCACGAACACCTCCATTGGGACACGCCGCTACACGAGAATCTGAGCACGGCCTGGAACCAATTTCTGACAGAGTTACCAACCATACATCAAGTCACTCTGCCACGTTATATCAATGTTCAGTCCTGCTCTGATATTCAACTTCTCGGATTTTCTGACGCATCAATGAAGGGTTATGCTGCTACCATTTATTTGAGTGTTGTCTACACTTCTGGAAATGTGCCTGTTCATTTTGTGTCTTGCAAGACAAAGATTGCTCCAATCAAAACTTCTCAACTAAATGAATCATTATCAATACCTTGTTTAGAATTATGCGCCGCATTGTTATTGGCTCAATCACTATCTCACATTCAAGAGGTTCTCTCAACTACAATCAACATATCTCAAGTTCGTGCTTGGACTGATTCATCGATTGTCCTATCGTGGTTGTCGTCTGAAAAAAAATATTTTAAGATATTCGTCACTCATCGCGTTGTAAAAATCCATACACTGGTTCCTAATTGTCACTGGGGTCACGTTCGTACGCATGAAAACCCTGCTGACCCGGCGTCACGAGGACTTCTACCCGCCACCATGGCATCTTCGTCACTACATTGGAACGGACCAGAATTTTTAAATCGTCCTGAAAAAGACTGGCCAGCGTCAACGTTCAGTCCAGTGCCCTTAGAAGAGTTGCCAGAGACCAAAGCCGATAAAGCAACCGTTCTCCAAGTCACTAAAAATCTACCGCCTATTGAACCCTTTCACCGCTTTTCATCCATAGTCAAAATGCAAGGAGTCCTAGCCTATTGTTTCCATTTCAGTCGTCGACCTGTGTTAACTGGTCCACTCACAAGAGCAGAATCGGATCACGTCTTAACCACTGCCGTTAGAGAGACACAAAGGATATATTTTTCCAGTTTAAGGAAACAGTTGACTACATCGCAGATGATAACTCCCGCTTCACTCGCTCAACTTGCCCCATTTTTTGATAATGATGGTTTGATTCGTGTTGGAGGTCGTCTTCGATATTCAGCGTTAAGTGAAGATGTGAAACATCCTATTCTTTTGCCACATTCTGCACATGTCACTCAATTATTAATTCGTCATTATCACTTGAGTTTCCTTCATGGTGGACCCAAATTGGTCTTATCCATGATGTCACATAAGTTCTGGATCATCTCTGGTCGTGACGCCATCCGACGATTCATCTTTTCATGTGTCACGTGTAGCCGTCACAAAGCAGATAACCCTCGACCATTTATGGCAGATCTCCCATCAAGCCGCGTTCAACCACACCTACCTTTTTTACACGTGGGTATGGATTACGGAGGGCTGTTCGTCATCAAAGAATCTCGCCTTCGTAATGCTCGCACTTCAAAGGTGTTTGTTGCTCTGTTCATCTGCATGTCAGTAAAGGCGGTCCATTTGGAAATTGTTTCAGACTTGACTACAGACGCCTTTCTCGATGCATGAGATCGTTTTGTGGCTCGTCGGGGAACGCCTGCACATTTGTATTCGGACTGTGGGACAAACTAGGTTGGAGCTGCCCGCCAACTTAAATCGATATTTAAAGACCCCACTGTACAAGAGCAAATGATTTCTCATCTTCCGTACACTTGGCATTTTAATCCCCCAGCCGCGCCGCACTTCGGGGGGTTATGGGAAGCCGCAATTAAAAGTTCAAAACTTCATATGAAGCATGTCATTGGTACTCAAGTCCTAACATTTGAAGAAATTTTAACATTGGTCACCCGCATCGAAGGAATATTGAATTCGAGACCACTTACACCTGCTTCATCGGATCCCAATGATCTCGTTCCGTTAACGCCCGGCCACTTCTTGATCGGGCAACCATTGCATGCTCTTCCAGAAACCGACGTTACACAGGTTCCCCTCAACAGATTAGACAGATGGCAATTGATTCGCCAGTGTCACCAATCTTTTTGGAAAAGATGGACGAAAGAATATCTGACTACCTTACAAGGCCGCCAGGAGTGGTTCCAAAAACGTCTGAATCTAGCTGTTGGTGACATGGTCATTGTCGAGGCACCCAACCGACTCCCTTCCGAATGGCGTTTAGGACGTGTGACGGAAGTTCATCCTGGAGCAGATAACACGGTTCGCGTCGTTACCGTGCGTACCAAAGATGGAACCTGCAAAAGACCAGTTGTTAAATTTGTCAGATTGCCGGTAGATCAATATACTCTATTCGCCGTAAGTTGACGCACTCGCTCGACAAAAACCGGTCGTGGCTGCGCAGGCCACAGCGTATTCGGAGCGCTAGTGTTGATCATCGCCACCGCACCTAGCGTATACGTAGTTATTTGATTATCTTAACGACGTATCGACTATAGATATTTTGTAAATCATCCTGTATGCACTGCGGCAGCTGCCTACTACGACGAGCACCGTCGGTTGCCGAACGCAACCGACCAATCACAGACCACCGGTCTACAACGTGGGGGGTCTGAACGACGACTGGTTCCGGCGACTCAGTATGCATGCGCGCAAGTGGGTCAACTTACGGCGAATAGAGTATAGATTCCTTGTTTTCCACTTAAATGTTCCTCCATAAATGTATTTTTAGTTTTAAGTTAATATAAGTTTGGACACTCTCGTCAAAGTATCATGGGATGTTTCGGAAGCCTGCGTCTTCCAACGTGGAGAGGATGTTCGGTAGCGATACGGCCGGCACTAGTGATGCAACCTTTTGCGCATGTACTGCTGCTATCGCCAGTTGGCTGCACTGCCGATTCCGGCGTCACATGTTCGCCGCGACGCGATCCCCTTACCTCTCTGGAGTAGTGTCGTTATGTCGTATCGATATTTTGAAATA